CTTCGAACGTCATCTGTTAAGTGAGTTAAGTGTCTTTTTTGATTCATTAACGAAGGGGGGGGGGAGTTTTAGCGGATAGATTAACGAGCATTTCCTCTTTGTTGATGAGGACGGAGTGCGTTATGAAACAGAGAGGCAAAAGTGCATTGTTTTTCATATTCCTTCTCTATTAGTTATCTCTATTCTAAATTAACATTTTTGTCCAATAACACTAAAAAAAACTTAAACATTATCTCACTCTTTATTGACACTTGCAATTAAATGTGGAATTTTATTATTTCACATAAAAACGAATGTGTTTTAAAATAATGTATTTACCTATTTTCAGTACTTAATTTTCAATTCGTTATAAATCGCACGATAATTGTTTTCAAATTTACATTTTCTGAAGGAATTTGATTAATTTCTGATGCGGTTCCTCACCTCTTAATGAGCTAAGACAAATTTACTTCCTAAATGCAGACGACAAGTCACAATAACGGGGATAAAGATGTGATAAACAAACCCACACATTAGAAAATGGAAAAAGACGAGGTTTCGGTCCGTTCTGGACTTTTATGGTCCGTCCTGGACTTTTATGGTCCGTCCTGGACTTTTATGGTCCGTCCTGGACTTTTATGGCCCTTCCTGGACTTTTATGGTCCGTCCTGGACTTTTATGGCCCTTCCTGGACTTTTATGGTCCGTCCTGGACTTTTATGGTCCGTCCTGGACTTTTATGGTCCGTCCTGAACTTTTATGGTCCGTCCTGGACTTTTATGGTCCGTCCTGGACTTTTATGGTCCGTCCTGGACTTTTATGGTCCGTCCTGGACTTTTATGGCCCGTCCTGGACTTTTATGGCCCTTCCTGGACTTTTATGGCCCTTCCTGGACTTTTATGGTCCGTCCTGGACTTTTATGGCCCTTCCTGGACTTTTATGGTCCGTCCTGGACTTTTATGGCCCTTCCTGGACTTTTATGGTCCGTCCTGGACTTTTATGGCCCTTCCTGGACTTTTATGGTACGTCCTGGACTTTTATGGTCCGTCCTGGACTTTTATGGCCCTTCCTGGACTTTTATGGTACGTCCTGGACTTTTATGGTCCGTCCTGGACTTTTATGGTACGTCCTGGACTTTTATGGTCCGTCCTGGACTTTTATGGTCCGTCCTGGACTTTTATGGTCCGTCCTGGACTTTTATGGCCCTTCCTGGACTTTTATGGCCCTTCCTGGACTTTTATGGTCCGTCCTGGACTTTTATGGTCCGTCCTGGACTTTTATGGCCCTTCCTGGACTTTTATGGTCCGTCCTGGACTTTTATGGTCCGTCCTGGACTTTTATGGTCCGTCCTGGACTTTTATGGACCTTCCTGGACTTTTATGGTACGTCCTGGACTTTTATGGTCTGTCCTGGACTTTTATGGTCCGTCCTGGACTTTTATGGTCCGTCCTGGACTTTTATGGCCCTTCCTGGACTTTTATGGTCCGTCCTGGACTTTTATGGTCCGTCCTGGACTTTTATGGTCCGTCCTGGACTTTTATGGTCCGTCCTGGACTTTTATGGCCCTTCCTGGACTTTTATGGTCCGTCCTGGACTTTTATGGTCCGTCCTGGACTTTTATGGCCCGTCCTGGACTTGACAGTGTAAATCATATCTTCACACGTGTTGACAGATGCACTCATGATAGGAATTGCTTTAATTACAGAGGTGTAGGCACAGAGAAAATGATAAAGCGGAAATGGGAATAATCTCTATTCACAACGAGGGAGGATAGGGAAGGAAGATAAAGAGAGAGAGAGAGAGAGAGAGAGAGAGAGAGAGAGAGAGAGAGAGAGAGAGAGAGAGAGAGAGAGAGAGAGGAGAGAGAGAGAGAGAGAGAGAGAGAGAGAGGAGAGAGAGAGAGAGAGAGTAAGATGAAGGGTAGTAAAGGAGGAGGATTGAGAAAAGATAGAAGAAGGGGGGGGGGCAACTTAGTATTATTACATTTTCCGGTGTATTTATGAGAGTAAATACCCATCACACACACACACACACACACCTCTTCAGTAAAGAAATCCTTAGTATGACTAAGGCATCCCAAGCAGTGCCAATCGCCTACCTTTAAGGCTAAGGAACCCTGTAATTCCTCTCAGGGAACAACCCTTACTGATATAAAAACTCCAAAATCAAATAGAGAGGAACCCCCTTGTCTGATCTCGTTAATGAACTCGAAGCGCTTGTTGCAAGGCACCCTAACGATGTTAATTAACTCAACTGCTATAAAAGGAATATGTAATTAACCCCAAATGCTGTTTGGGTGGTCTCCCTTCGACTCGATGCTGAGGGCGCTGACTGCTGTACAGAAAATGACAACGCTGATATTAAAGGGAAATACAATATAACGTTTAATAATTTTTTTGGGGGGTTGTAATGGAATTGATAAATGCTGTTTAGGCATTTAGGCATTAGGGAGCCGGTCGGCCGAGCGGACAGCACGCTGGACTTGTGATCCTGTGGTCCTGGGTTCGATCCCAGGCGCCGGCGAGAAACAATGGGCAGAGTTTCTTTCACCCTATGCCCCTGTTACCTAGCAGTAAAATAGGTACCTGGGTGTTAGCCAGCTGTCACGGGCTGCTTCCTTGGGGTGGAGGCCTGGTCGAGGACCGGGCCGCTGGGACACTAAAGCCCCGAAATCATCTCAAGATATCCTCAAGATAAGGCACATCCCTTAGTGCAGAGGTTCTCAATTACGGGGGGGGCGAGGAGGGGATGTAAGGACTATAGACACAAGCTGTGAGAATATTGATCTTTCTATAAACTATAATTCTACAGATTGTGCATAATCTAAAGGACATCACACTGTACTGTATGTCTGAGATAATATTAAAACTAAAGGTCAATATTTCGCTTTTTATCTGTGGAAATATTCCATTTATAGTTACATTCAACTCTTGATTTTTATTCATGGATTTTGGAGGCTATCGTGAGTATGTAAACAAAAAAAAGAGTGTACGATGATTTATATATTGAACGTGGATTTATATCCATCATTATTACTGGAGAAGGAAGCCTTCAATGAGTGATTTGAAGCAAAGTTTTGTCTGCCAATGATGCCAACGATGTTGAAGCAGAATGTCCATCTTCAACACAAGGATAAGGACGAAAAAAATAGAACTCCAAAAGTGAAAGACATTCACGATATGATCCATTGTCAGACACTGGCCTCATAAACACCTCCAGATCCAACAAGGAACTTTTAAATCTAATAATCCAAATTGTGAGTTTTGTCAAAGGAGGAGCTGTCAACTCTTCAAGCAGTTAAGTATTGACATGGATGCAGGCAATCATTTACTCCTTTTCAACACGTCAACAGATTCAAACAGAATGGCAGTGATGGCTCACTCGCACACCGGATCCCGAAATGCAACTCTCCCGTGCCACACGACATGCATTTAAAAAGGAAATGTAACTGAGCGTGTATTTGAACTTAGAGAGGAGCTCTAATGATTTTTTCAACGTTCAAGATAAGATGGAACTTTTTCCCCTGGTTGAATGATGATGAGCGGATCCCTTGCCTTGTCTATTTGGTTGTCAGTTTTGAGCAGCAGAATAAACTGAATCTTCAGAAGCCGTGAAGGAAGGAATACAAACATCATAAAGTTCCTTCATTCCTTGAAAGCTTTCACGAGCCAGCTGGAAAATTGGAAGAGAAATATCGAGAGAAAAAAAATGTCTCAATGTTAGAGAAACTCTTATCAGTGCTTGTCGCTGGTGGTAAGGACAAGTGCTTAAAGAATTTGGATTTTTTTTACAGCATTTGACAGCACTGGAAAATTAATTCACCCTATATGTTCCTGCACTCTGTAATGAGGAGTTGGATCAAGTGTGAAATCCCTTCAGTTGAAAAAGTTCCTGATGATTGTCAAGATGAATTTCTGGAATTGAAGATGGATTCGGGAGCAAGAGACATGTTCGATGAGAAATCACTCACAGAATTCTGGCCTTGATGTTCGATTCCTAGCCTAAAAGTGGCAGGATGAACTATCCTTCCCTTGCTTCCATTTGTGTCTACATACCTGTGTGAGTCAGGAGGCTCGTTAACTCTATTGCAAGTGAAAATGAAGCAACGAGGTAGAACATTAGATAATTATCTTGAGATGGTAGATTGGAGGTTGCAAATGACCTGCATTGTGGCTTTTCGAGCACTCCTCCACGAACCTAAGAACGAGTGAGGAAGAACTATCAAGAGTTTCTCATTGAATGTAATTCTCATGTAAATAAACTGAATTGCAATATGCTGGCTTTCTATAAAACGTTTTGTTTAATGAAGTATGCTTCAATTTAGCCTGTTAAGTCATTAGTTATGAATATATCAAGAATTTTTTATTTAAGTTTTAAAATCATCAACATTTAATATCAACAGAATGTTGATATTAAATCTGTAAATCTCCATTAAATAAATAATCCAAGAAAATGTATATGAACCAATATGGTTAAATAATTGAAAATATTTGATATGCATATTACTTAGAATGTAACTTTTGAGTCAGACAAACTTGGAAAAGGAGGATATGACATTCTGGCATACAGTGAAAAGTGTGCAAAGGGGACAATAAAGGGTCGAGAAGCACTGCATTGGTGTTTGTAACACTTTTTATTAAGCCAAAAGATATTCATTAGGAAAAGGTCTCAAATATTGAGTTGCAGAGTGGTAGTTAATGGTAGTTGTTCAGTGTCCGAGGACACACACACACACACACACACACACACACACACACACACACACACACACACACACACACACACACACACACACACACACACACACACACACACGCACACACACACACACACACACACACACACACACACAGACACACACGCACACACACACACACACACACACACACACACACACAACACACACACACACACACACACACACACACACACACACACACACACACACACACACACACACACACACACACACACACACACACACACACACACACACACACACGCACACGCACACGCACACGCTCACGCAAGGATCACCTTCCAGCATGACATTAACATGATGGCGACTCTTCCTCTATTCGAAAAAAAACGCGGGTAATTTCCTCCCCCTGAGACGATGGAGGGGCGTTGAGCGCTGGCACTGTCTTGTTGCACTCTGGCACTGTCTTGGTGCACTCTGGCACTGTCTTGGTGCAGTCTGGCACTGTCTTGGTGCAGTCTGGCACTGTCTTGTGCACTCTGGCACTGTCTTGGTGCACTCTGGCACTGTCTTGGTGCAGTCTGGCACTGTCTTGGTGCAGTCTGGCACTGTCTTGGTGCAGTCTGGCACTGTCTTGGTGCAGTCTGGCACTGTCTTGGTGCAGTCTGGCACTGTCTTGTGCACTCTGGCACTGTCTTGGTGCACTCTGGCACTGTCTTGGTGCACTCTGGCACTGTCTTGGTGCACTCTGGCACTGTCTTGGTGCACTCTGGCACTGTCTTGGTGCACTCTGGCACTGTCTTGGTGCACTCTGGCACTGTCTTGGTGCACTCTGGCACTGTCTTGGTGCACTCTGGCACTGTCTTGGGACACTCTGGCACTGTCTTGGTGCACTCTGGCACTGTCTTGGGACACTCTGGCACTGTCTTGATGCACATTGACCCTCACCTACTCTTTAGCTTGTCACTGTCGGTGTTTAGCTTGTCACTGTCCAGCGTGACATATCTCGCTCCGTTCCAGCGTAAGTACCGCAAACAACGTAGCGTACCGTAGCGTACCGTAGCGTACCGTAGCGTACCGTAGCGTACCGTAGCGTACCGTAGCGTACCGAATCACCTTACATTAAGGAAATGCTTCACGGTACTGCCCTCATGTTAATTAAGGTAATCAAATAATGAGGACTCACTGAAGTGGCCCACCTCACTTTCCCCACACAACCCCGTCTTTAAAAGTGAGGGGATCACCTCCCCCCATCTCCCCCCTCCCCCATACCTCTAACCCCCCCTCCCCTTTCCACCCCCTCAGGCGCTAAGGTGTTTTTTTTCCCCAATATTCCAAACAGAAGATTTGTGTACAATAACACATCAGAAAATCAGCTTAAAAAACACATTCTTGGGAAAGCATTTTTAACTTTTTGGATTTATTACAAATCAAGTTTAAATGATATGTTAAAATTTTCATTGATTTCCAGACAAATAACAATATGAGCAACAAAGAAAATAACAACGATAACAACCACATCGACAGCAACAACAACAACTTCAACTCCAGCTACAACAACATCTTTGAATTGTTTCAAGCGCAGGTCAGACACATACACGCCCGAGTCTGGGTGGACATCAGCTGCCTCGTATGGCAGTCTGCGGTTTTCTCCGTTCTTAAGCAGTTTCCCAGTCAACACTGCAGCCCATTTTCTCCCAACATCTACCAGAAAGTGTTGCAACACAAAGACTGCACAAAAAAGTGTAAGACTACATTGCAACACTCAAAAGTTAGTACTGTTGCATATACGAGAAAACAAATAATATATTCAAACTTTGCAAATGATTAAAAATGTTAATATTCTTAATTGAGTTATTATTAAGTTCTATATTTATATGTTATATATAATTATTTTAATAATGATGTATAACTTATACGTTAAAACTAGTATAATTTCTCCGTTCTATAAAATTTTATATATAAATGATTCCTTTGGAAGGCATTATTTTTCAAGGCACGCGGAATATTATAGCTTTAGTTTGGGAACTGTTAGACGATCTCGCTCAGTAATATCTTTCTCAACAGAGATATTACTGAGCTTGGGATGTGGTTGTCCAACCAGGCTGTGACTCATACGTCAGGCTGCGAGCAGCCGCGTCTAACAGCTGGTTGATCAGTCCAGCAACCAGGAGGCCTGGTCGACGACCGGGCCGCGGGGACACTAAGCCCCGGAAGTACCTCAAGGTAACCTCAAGGTAGCTTATAGTCAGCTTGGTAGGTGACTCTCCACAAAGAATACTCTTTGTCTCTGTCTGTCTGTCTGTCTGTCTGTCTGTCTGTCTGTCTGTCTGTCTGTCTGTCTGTCTGTCTGTCTGTCTGTCTCTCTCTCTCTCTCTCTCTCTCTCTCTCTCTCTCTCTCTCTCTCTCTCTCTCTCTCCTCTCTCTCTCTCTCTCTCTCTCTCTCTCTCTCTCCTCCTCTCTCTCTCTCTCTCTCTCTCTCTCTCTCTCTCTCTCTCTCTCTCTCTCTCTCTCTCTCTCTCTCTCTCTCTCTCTCTCTCTCTCTCTCACGCCCATTACGGGAATTAATCGTGCAGTGGGGAAGCATTTGCAAATCATTACTCAAAACCATGTTACAGAGAGAGATGTGTGTGTGACGCGGACCAATATGAGGCTGTGATGATTGCCGTCCAGGTGAGGGAGTGGGCTTGGGTTAGGTTGTGGGACGAAGTGCGGGGAGGGGGGGCGAGGGGGGGTGTAGGGAGGGGGGGGGGGGGTGAGGGAGGTGTAGGGAAGGGCAACAATGGGTGGTTTAGTTTCGATGATAGATCGTGACCTTTGCAGCGTCAGGTGGTGGAGGTGCGTGTCACGGAAGGAATAGCCTGGAAGACAGAGCAAAGACCATCGAGTCCCTCCCCCAAACCCCCCTAACCCCAGGAACGAACACATAACTAGGGGTGCAGGGGCTAGATTCACGAAGCAGTTACGCAAGCACTTACGAACCTGTACATCTTTTCTCAATCTTTGGCGGCTTTGTTTACAATTATTAACCAGTTAATGAGCTCCGAAGCACCAGGAGGCTGTTTATAACAATAACAACAGTTGATTGGCAAGTTTTCATGCTTGTAAACTGTTTAATAAATGTAACCAAAGCCGTCAAAGATTGAGGAAAGATGTACACGTTCGTAAGTACTTGCGTAAGTGCTTTCGTGAATCTGGCCCCAGGCATGTCTTAAGAATAAGTAACAAATATATGTGAGTTACCGCCTGTGCTGTGAGTGGCAGCGCCTCCGACGGCCAGTTGGGACACAGCTCACGCTCGTATCATCCTAAATCCAATTTAGGGGAGGACGAATTACCTAAGTTAAACATAATTTTTTCTTCTAAATATGTGATCCTGAAATGCCTTGGTAATGCTCGTGCTGAAAGTGGCTTCAAGAAAAATGACAAGAGAAACGTTCACAGCAACGCTGGGGGAATGTTGCTTTTATTTGGTGTGAACTATTTTGAATACATAGAACTTTATGATAGGTTTTTTGTTTAGTCCTAGTGGCAGTCTAGGCCTGGTCGAGGACCGGGCCGCGGGGACACTAAAGCCCCGAAATCATCTCAAGAAGAAGATCTAGATGTCGCCCCCTGGCCTGAGCAGGTACAGTAAGCGTGCTTAACTACTTGTTAATATCTTCAGTGTTGGTAGGAATCACGTGGTTACCGTACCAACATTAACAATTCAGTTATAAAATCCACAGGAGCTGTGATGAAGATTCGAACCTATGCGCTGGGTATTTCCCAGATGCACGGTCTAGACGACTACGTCACGACTTATGTGGGTTTTCTTGTTGATATATGACTGATAATGTCATTTGTCTGTGTATTTAAGTGTAGACATTATGCTATTTTAATGGAGCCAGAGTGTTCCTTAATGTGAAGAGTCTTGAAGATGGCGTAGTCCTGCCCATATATTGAGAACATGGAGATTTCACATGTAGGTCTATACAGTTTCTCAAGGCATTTTGTTTGGTGTCGTGAGAGTTCTTCATAAGCAAATTGGCGATTGTCTTGTTTTTTGTAGTAATTGCCGCTCTCACAGCTAATGGCCAATTCTCCAGCTGGGTCAGAAAGAGTTGCCGGGAGTACGAGGCAAGAAGCCTCGCCTAGGAGTAACATAATGCTATGGTTTGCAGCCTTTATGAAACACAGAATGAGTTTCGGTGTGAGCTCCACACGGAGTCATTTGTTGTTGGTGCGAGGTTGGTAGCTGTGTTAATGAGGCAAGTAATGCTGGCTCTGTTGCGAATGTTGGTGGTGGTGGTGATGGTGGTGGTGGTGGTTGGTGGTGGTGGTATTTGGTGGTGTTGGTGATTGATGGTGGTAGTATTTGGGGGTGTTGGTGATTGGTGGTGGTGGTATTTGGTGGTGATGGTGATTGGTGGTAGTGGTGGTATTTGGTGGTGTTGGAGATTGGTGGTAGTGGTGGTATTTGGTGGTGTTGGTGATTGGTGGTGGTGGTGATTGGCGGTGGTGGTATTTGGTGGTGTTGGTGATTGGGGGTGTTGGTGATTGGTGGTGGTAGTGGTATTTGATGGTCTTGGTGATTGGTGGTGGTGGTGTTTCTTGATAATGGTGGTGGTAAAAATAAAAAAATCCGCTAACGCAACAATCTTATATACGAAACAACTTGTGTCGGACTACCACACGCCTGAAACTAGTCGTCAAAAAGTGTCTTTACACACAAATAAGAATTCAACTCCAACATTGATATTCCTATACCAAAAAAATACATCTAATACCACAACGTCCTTGACAAAACAAAAAATGATCTTTCCAGGAGCTATTAAACATTTTGGGAAGTATTTACGAGTTTTAGAGCGATGCATAAAACGCTTTGGCTATAATTGTTAAAGCTAAAAAGGTTTTAGCACGCTAGCTTATAACCTTATGACTCCCTTGGCACCGGGTCACGCCAGGTGTTAGACCCCAGGGTGAGGTGAGACCCCCAGGGTGAGGTGAGACCCCCAGGGTGAAGTGAGACCCCCAGGGTGAGGTGAGACCCCCCAGGGTGAGGTGAGACCCCCAGGGTGAGGTGAGACCCCCAGGGTGAGGTGAGACCCCCAGGGTGAGGTGAGACCCCCCAGGGTGAGGGGAGACCCCCAGGGTGAAGTGAGACCCCCAGGGTGAGGTGAGACCCCCAGGGTGAGGTGAGACCCCCAGGGTGAGGTGAGACCCCCAGGGTGAGGTGAGACCCCCAGGGTGAAGTGAGACCCCCAGGGTGAGGTGAGACCCCCAGGGTGAGGTGAGACCCCCAGGGTGAAGTGAGACCCCCAGGGTGAAGTGAGACCCCCCAGGGTGAAGTGAGACCCCAGGGAGAGGTGAGGGAGGTAGCAGTAAAACTTGCTCTTACTGATAACAAAACATGGTGTGTTGTGGTGTAAGGATAGGTATATCTAGAGGAGTGAGTGTGAGGGATAGATGTAGACGGAGTGGGGATGGGGTGTAAGTGTATTGGAGAACGGAATAGAGAGTGCCCTGTGCTGCAGGGATAGTAGTCCATGGACGAGTGCTTGTTGCTCTGCAAGATTATAGTCTGCATATGCAGACTTTGTCAAAGCAATTTATACAATTTACCCCCCATGAGAGTCCATAAAATGAGGAGTAAGGGACTGACAGGTCCCATTTCTATCCACTACTATATGGATAGAAATGGTAGAAGTACAAAATAAATACAGTTATTAACCATAACCATAATTAGAGGACCTCAGAGGTCCCCATAATTAGAGGACCTCAGAGGTCCTCATTTCCTCAATCTTAGGAAGAGAGAGACAGAGAAACAGACACCAGAGACAGAGAGGACAGAGCAGGGACAGGGACAAGGGAATTGACAGAGAAGGTCAATGGCTCTATCGCCAACATCAGGTAATTCAATTACAGTTTCTCTCACGCTCCCCCTTCGTGTTCATCACCAATTCTCTCGCTCTCCTTGCCCCTCATCTCGCTTTATTATCCTTCCCTTTCTTGATTTTTGTCTTCACTCACTATTTTCCTTTCCACTCGGCCCCTTCGTAACAGCCAATTCAGCTAGTTAAGGGGGGCGCCAAAGGTTCGAACAGGGGGGTCGCACGAAGCGAACTGGGGTCCTTCCCACGGTTCTCCAGCTCAGCTACCTCGAGGCAGCTTCGGTTCGAGAACCAATGGGTATATAGACTGGTTCACACAGGTGAGAACACGACTGCCATCACACACAACCACTACCACCACCACCACCACCACCACTTTCACTGCCATCACCACCATTGAAGCCACCATCGTCACTACCACCATCACGACCTGTACAACATTTTACAACGGCAGATGAAGCACAAGATCCAATTTGCGTGGAGAGTAACTGAAATTGACTCTCCATCGAACCAGTAACTTACTGGCCACAGGATCAGTAATTTATTTTCTCTAGGGGCCAGTAACTAACTCTCCCTCAAGACTAGAACCTGTCTCTCCACAGGACTTGTAACTCTTCACCACTAGTAACTCTGACTCTCCACAGGACCAGTAAAAACTCACCCAGGACCAATAACTAACTTCCCTAAATTCCCTGGATTCTCTAAGTTCCTT